AAGAGTGTCCACCAGCTCTGGCCCCCACGCCGTCCACCTACAGCCTGTGTACCACGCTCCCTTCTCCTTCATCAGGCTGCGATGCACACCCAAACTGCTAGCCCAGGGCGCCCACCCACAGCACCTGCCTCCCATCCCTCCTGGGCAGCCCGTGTCCTCCAAGGACCCCTCACAGTCACCACTGGCCATTCCCGAGACCTCCCCGAACCTTCCCGCCAGCAAACAAACATGCTGTTATCTTAGAAACAAAATCAAGCCCAATTTCCTTTCTCCCATTTTCCTCTCCAGGTACCGCCCCATTTCTCTAACCTGATTGTAGATTATTTTAAATAGAGTGTATAAAGATGACCTTTCTTTTTACTAAATGAATTTTCCCTGGGGGACTGGTCGTTTGCTTGTTCTGGGAGAAAGTGTGACAATAGTCTCTCTGTTTCTCATTCAATCTCCTCCTCTGCCTGCACCACCCCTTCCTTCCAGACCTGCTCACTTAGGGTGCCCCCCCACCTCCTCTGGTGTCCTGGAGTTCCCACGGCTTGCTGTGATCTTTTTTCTGGGTCACCCCAGCGCTCCTGAACCCCTGCCCACACCATGCACCTTTCTTAGCTCACTAGACAGGTAGCGGTTTCCTCATGGTCTGCAGCTCGTGGGATGCTGCTTTTCAAACCCGCCTTTCCTCTAGAGCCTCTGCCCCTTTTCTGTGTATTTCCATCGCTCTCAGCGTGTCAATTCCCTGCTCATTCATTCCTGCACCCCAACCATGTCTACCTTTACACCTTCAGCTACCGTAGCAGTGACCCTAAGAGGATGCTGTGTTAGTCTGCTCGGGCCGCCGTAACAAGGTACCACCGGCCGGGCGGGTAAACAGCACAAATCTGTGCTCTCCCAGTCAGGGTGCTGGGTGTCCAAGATCAAAGTGAGGGCAGGGCTGGTTTCTTCTGAGGCCTCTCTCCTTGGCTTATAGACCCTGTGTCCTCAGATGGTGGTTCCCCTGTCCGTGTGTCTGTGTCCCCATCTCCTCTCCTCATAAGGACACCAGTCACATTGGAGTAGGGTCCACCCCGCTGTCCTCACTTTACCATAATCACCTCTTTAAAGACCCCGTCTCCAAATCAGGTGACACTCTAAGCTGCTAGGGGTTAAGTCTTCAACGTATGAATTCGGGGCCATCACTGGTGGGGACACGGTGACAGACAACCCCTGTTCACTGGGAACCTCCCCTGCGCTGAGCACTGAGCTCTTTTGCCACCTCAGTTCATCTCACAGTGATCTGACAGGGCCCATCTTGAGCGCACGGGGACCAGGTGCTTCCCACCGTCACCGCGACAGCATCTGGCTTCTTCCCCCACAGGACGTACACCTTCAGTCTAGCCATGGACTTGAACTCCAGAAAGGACGGTGATGCCAGCAGCCGACGTAACGGGGAAGTTCCTCCTCCACAAAGGCCCAGGAGCATAGGCAGCATACAGGCTTTACAGGTGAGAGAGTCCCGTTTCTGTCACGTGAGCTAGGCCACGCCACCCTTTACCATAGTACGTGTAGACACAGCCTTGCGGGGGGGGGGGTTCTATAGATACGCACCCTGCTGCCCCAGAGCGCAGGCGCTCCCCCACCCGTCCGCCACCCCACCCCCACTCCCATGGCTGCGAGCTGGCTGGTTCCCGGTTCCCACTAACGTGGCAATGCCTCCAGGGCCTGAATGAGCGGTCCCTCCACATCCCCACCCTGTGCCACACACATTACATGAGGATTTCATCCCAGCCACCCCACCAGGCACAAGAGGCATTAGCCCCCTCCATCCCCTTCATACAGATCTGAAGACGGAGGCTTGTGGGGAGCACATAGGTTAGCGCCCCCCATACCGGGTTGTTTCGAGAATTACATGAGATGGGATGTGAGCATCCACTGCAGGCCAGGCCCTCAGTGCTGAGAGACGGTTACTGCCCAGACAGCAGGACCGCAGTATCAGGCTCCTGCCTGGGTCCCAAGGCCCGGCTCAGGGCCTGGCTGATAAATCTCATTGGATGAACCACAGTGTGACTTCATAAGGGTCCTAATTGAGACTCATGCTGGAACCACTCTAAATGCAAAATTCACCCTCCATCTCCAAGAATCCATCACCCCCCAGAGGCTGCCTCCAGGCTGGAGTGGGCTCAGGCCAGACGACAGCTGAGCAAGCGATGCTGGGAGCTGGGGAGGCAACTGGATGGATGCGTTAGCCAGGTCTTCCGTCGGAGAGAATGGCCGGGAGCCAGAGAACTGCCAGCCACAAAAAGACAAAAACGGGGGTCCCCATCCCCAAGCTGCCCAGACTCCGGAAGATGCAACAGAGGCTGGACTTGCCCCCCGAGGTGGAAAATAGGAGAGCAGGCATGAACGGGGGGCCTCCTCGAGGCTGTGCCCCCCTTCCTTGTGGATGGAAGGGGAGAAGCTGGAATGAAAGACTTAGGCTGTCGCTCGGCCTGTGTCTAAACCCTCTGGTACTTTAAATGAAAACCCTCCTCACCTGGTCTGAGGTCGCCCCTTCTGTATAGCCAGAAAAGGACACTGTGGCATCAGGTTTGGGACAATGGGCATGTAGTGGGCTGAACAACAGCCCCCAAAGATAGGAGGTCCTAATCCCTGGAACCGGGAATGTTACTTTATGAGGAAAAAGGGCCTTTGCATATGGGACTGAATGAAGGATCTTGATGGGAGATTATTCTGGTGTCGTGAGTGGGACGCGACTATCAGAGTAGCAGCCTCACACACGTGTGTGTCTTTCCACAATGTCAGCCTTTATGAGAGTAAGCTGTGGATCTAGTCCTCCTGACTCGGTTTCCCACGGGCGTTCACCCAGGCTCCGGCCAAAGGATCGTCTCCCATAGTCGAGGAAGACGGTTTCACACAGAGGGTCACACAGGTTTGCAGGCAATCGGGTTAGGCCAGGAACAGGGTCTTAGGAAAGGAGGATGAGAGAGAGTCCGGTGTGCAGCCAGAGTCCCTATAGTGCTGGGGTGCACAGCGTCGGGTGTCAGGCCGGGCTGGTGAGACGGTCAGGAGGTGAGGCTTCAAGCGCTCCGTCTGGGACGAGTGCAGGTGCGGCTGTCAATTCGTCGGCTGAGGCCTGAGCGAGGGGCCGTCAGGGAGCTCTGATTTATGCTGGAGACTGGGTGCGGTGCCCCCATCTGCAGCCTGATAAAGCTGTTAGATGTTCACACTCCACCCTGCGTCTGGAGTTACCTGGTTAGAGTGATCCCGGGGTACGCCTTTCACAGGATGCCCTGGCATGACTGCCGTTTTGTGACTGACACAACTATCAGAATTATTAGAGTCCATTTCGTGTTCATAATGAATGCTCTACACATCGGCATTATCCTGAGGGCCCTGAACCTAATCACAACTGCCCTGATGAGAGGGGAACAGAGGGGATTTGATCCACACAAGAGGAGGAGACACGGACACACAAGGACGAGACCATGTGAGCGTGGGGACAGAGACTGGAGCAATGTGGCCACAAGCCGAGGATTGCTGGGGCCACCAGGAGCTGGGAGAGGCAGGAAGGACGTTCCCGTGAAGCCTCTGAGGGAGCGCGGAACTGGCTGTAGCTGCTGAACAGGAAGGCGGGGGCTCTATTCCTCAGTCAGCTGTTGGGTGACTAGGAGAGATGCATCTAGAAGAAGTCTAATAATACGGATGTTACACTGCACTCTTTAGCAATGTTTGGCTGGGCTGCTCTGCTGATGGAGTGTTTTTGACATATGGGTTGCTTACCCCAGCTTGGCTTTCTTTCCTCCATCTCAGGCCACAATCATGAGGAAAAGCGTGTTGGTGGTGCGCCATGGGGAGAGGGTGGATCAAATCTTCGGGAAGTCGTGGCTGCAGCAGTGCTCCACTCCTGATGGTAAGTAATGTCCTGGCTGAGCCTAAACACAAAAGCAAGATAAGTCTGACCCATGAGGTCACTTCTCGGGCTTCTGAGCCAGACTCCCCAGGGTGCCACTCATTAGAGTGACTGTATAGGCCGTGTACGTGGGCTGGATGCATGCTGCGTGTCCCTGCACAGGCGGTACAGGTATGCATTTGAGGGCACGTGTTGTCTGTGAGTATCTGGCCTCAGCGATTTGTGTTTCAGTGGTAAGCAGGTCCGCCTGTGTGTCACGTGGACAGTCCTGCTGACTCTGCAGCCCACACACGGTATCTGGTTAGCGAGCGCACCACTGACTTTCCAGCAAGTCACCCCGATGACCTGCGGTCCCTGAGCCCTCGGCTACTGGCACGTAGCCTATCTCAGGCTCATTGCTCTGTCTCTCCGAGCTAATCTTCATGGTGGTGGTCATTTCCCTGTAATATCAGTCTATGCTACTCGACTGATAGGTGTAGTTTTGAACATGTCTCTTGCTTACCCCAACCTTACTTCTCTGGATGCCAAGAACTAAGGACAGTGCTTGGAAATACAACCTACCTACCAGCCAGTGCCTGTACTGCTGGGCCACCTCCGTGCCAGTGCTCAGCCCCTAATGGAAAGCCACAATTTCTAAGTCAAGGAATGGACGTATTAAACGAGCATAGTGATCAAATCCATTCATAGTAGCTGGACTAGTCGGGCCCTTTGGGATCCCTGCAGGAGCCCAGCAGGTCAAAAAAGGGGGGAACGAATAGGGAAAACCATTGGCAGATGACCAGCACACACCACAAAAATTCTGAGCAGATCACATCATGACCCAACATACCTCCAAGAACCCTGAGAGGTGGTGCTATGGTGTCTACAAAACCAGATCTAGTAGAGATACAAAGTCCCGGGGAGGAAACAACAGCACAGCAGGTGGAGAAGAAGAAGAGTATGTGGGAATGGACGAAAGATCAAGTCACCTACAGGGAAAATGTTTTAAGGCACTGGAAGTTACCAGCTTAATGGAAGCTACGGTGGATCTCTTTACAGGGTAAAGAAGCCCTTGATAAAGTGAATACTGATAGCCTAGTTTGTCTGCACGTCATAGGCTGCACTGTTTAATCAGTTACATGGGGTATTTGGGGGCACTGCTGGCCTCTCCTGTGATTCCAATTTTCCTGCTGATTTTTGCTCACTCAGCCTCAAGCACCCACACCTTCGTATGGCCCCTCACTTACCAGCAGTGCTGGCCCAGGGCACCCCTATTCTACAGATTCACTCCCGTCAGAACCTAACCCTGCCCTATACACTTGTTGTCTTCTGAGCTCTGTTCTCTGCCCCTCGCAATGACCACAGATAAAGTGACCCTGAAGGCAAGAGACCTCAATGGAGCAGGCTGGCAGCCTTTGGATCACAAATGCCTTTGAGAATAAGACACAAGCACTGGAACTTCTCTTTGGAAAAAAACAAATACCCCTTTTTCCAGCAAACACAGCTAACATGTTAGCATTTAATAAAGTCCTTTAAAGCTGATGGTTCAGGCAAAGTCTCTGCCAGTGGAATTTCCAGAGAGGGAGCTTTCAGAGACATCATGCATGGAAACTAAAACACAAGGCAGGCAAAATAGCTGACTGCCTCCCTCTGCATTTGTGAAAGGCTGGGCGGGGCTGCTGTGGCATGTTCAGGGCCCGCCATGTGATGTATCCAGGTCTCAGGAAAGTCAGCTGGGCTGCTAGGACCTGTTGCACCAGGAGGTTTGGGAGTCACTTGGGAGGATGTGAGGGCTTCATGTGGTATGATGTCCTCTGTAGGGTCATCGATAAATTGATAATGATCTCAAACCTACCACCTACTGACCTGTTACTTAAGCCAGGCTCTGGGCGTTAACTCACAAATTCATTTCAACAACGCTATCATCTCCCCTTTTACTAATAAAGGAGATAAAGTCATTTGCCTCTAGTCACACGACCAGTGACTGGTGGTACCAGGGCTGGCACCAGACTGTCAGATTAGAACTCAGGGTCAAACTCAAAGCAAGCTGGTGCTTTGCAGCCTCTGGATGGGGGCAGGGGGGATTCTAGTGACTCCCCAGATTTCCAGTCCTGCCTCAAGCAATTGACTCCAGCACAATGCAGGGACGTCTCCAGCCTATATATTCTGTCCCCGTAGGCAATGTGACACACTTAAGCTTTGGGAAGGGTCCAATTTCACCTAATTAATTAATGCCAACTTGAGATTCTTATCAAGGGGAGCTCAGTCAGTCAAGGAGACACTTGGTTCCTAATCAGAAAAGTTGTGTGAGCGAATCTTCAGGAAGGGTTAGCGGAGGGAAGTCTCGGGGTTCCTGGGGCGGAAACCTACGTTTCCTGTATTTGAGGAAATGTGTGCGCGGTAGAGCAGCACTTCTCCTTGAATTGGAGCCACGTCGCAGAGCACATTCAAGAAAAAGCCCAGTGGACAACAACTCGCATGAGAACCATGCTTCTAATGTGGGTCTTGACCTTGGGGTTGTTAGGGGGCAAATACACATTAACGCGAGAACCGAATGTCTGGTTCATGTTTATGCTTCAGGGAAATACTACCGGCCAGACCTGAACTTCCCTTGCAGTCTGCCCAGACGGGGCAACGGCATCAAAGACTTTGAAAACGATCCACCATTATCATCGTGTGGAATTTTCCAGTCCAGAATGGCAGGTACATTTGTGGGTCATTCTAGGAGGAATCCCAGCGATAATCGTAGCCGTGATTATCACTAACGCGAACCGGGCCCTTGGAGGTCAGTGTTAGCATTATCCCCTCGCTGCTGATGAGGAAGATGGGGCACACAGAGGTTAGGTAAGTGCCCAAGGTCGCCCAGCTGGTAAGTGGGATCTCAGAGACTTGACCCGGGAATGGGTGGTGGGGAAGCCGGGAGGGATGAATGGTATGGAAAGAACGGAGAAGGAAGGGAAAAAATAATTATCACCGTGCCGTGCCCTAACGACATTATATAAAAAAGGGAAAGCAACATCCCCTCTCTGATTTGATTTCAAATCTGTCACCCTGGGCCTTTGTTTGCTGTCTGCGCTCTGGTTAAACATGATTGGCTTTTTGGAACAGGAGAGGCCGTTGAGTTCGTGTGGTCTTCGTTTTATGAAGTCAGACACTCGAATCTAGAATCAGGAAGGTGCCTGGTCTTTCCAAGTCACACAGCTGGTACTGAAGGAACTTCCCTGGGAGCCTGTGCCCTGCGTCCTCACCCCGGGGGTGACGTGTATCGTCACCGGCTCTCGGGCAGGCAGGGAAGCCCTGATATTCAGTGGTGGAAATGCTGTGCTCACACCATGGCTGGTTTCAAGGTCGCTGATGTGGGGTCACTGAACGTGGAGCTGGGAAACGTGACACATTTGGGACCCCACAGGTCATTGTGAGCAGCTCCCCGCAGCCAGCCCTGCCTGGGCTCCTTCTCCTGCAGCACACTGGTGTGTGTGTGTGTGTGGTGTGTGTCCCTTCTGTAAAATACCTTCACAGCTCTGTGTTTCATGCCTAGATCCTCACCTCCATGTTTACACAAGCCCGTGTGTGTATCTGGCAGAATCTGTAATGGATAGTCAGAGGATGCCAAAAAATTGTACGTATGCACATTTTAAGAAAGGAAAAAACGGTATTAAAATTGTGATACTCAATATATACCGATAACAAAAGAGGAATACAAGTCATATGTATACATTTTTTTGGCACCCCCAGCATATGAAGGCAATTGTCAGTTTCTCTATTTGCTTCCTGGGGCTGCCGTAACAAATATCACAGATAGAGTGGCTCAATCCACAGAAATGTATTGCCTCACAGCTCTGGGGAGATGAGGGTGCAGGCAAGGTTGTTCCCTCTAAGGTCGAGAGAGAGCCTGCTCCCGGCCCCTCTCCTGGGCTTGTGCACGGCCGTCTTCTCCCTGTGTCCTCACATCGTCTCTTTCTGTACATGTCTCTGCACCAGATTTCCCCTTTTTATAAGGACACTGGTAGATTGTTAGAGCCATGCTAATGGCCTCATCTTGACTGCCTCTCCTCTGTGAAATCCCTGTCCCCAAATAAGGTCACACTCTGAGGCACTGGGGTTAGGGCCCCAGCGTATGATCTGAAGGGACACAGTTCAGCCCGTGACAGCATCCACTAAACCCTCCTGACGTTGGTACTGTGTGGCTTTTATTCTGAAGAGATCCCTTCTTTCCCAAAGACCAGGTCCTCTAATGTTGACAAGAGGGGCAGTGGTACACAGGCTCAGGCTTCCATGAGCCTCAGGAACAAACTTCAAACAGCTCCCATGTGTCAGCTCACAGTCCTGCAGGTCAGAAACGCAGGCTCGGCGTGGCGTGTTCCCTGCCGGGGCTGGAAGCCTGAAAGCACGGCATCGCTGGCTGAGTTCCCATCTGGAGGCTCTTGGAAGCAGTTCCAAACTCATCAGGCAGTGGGAGAAGTCAGCTCCTTGGACTGAAGTCCTCGCTCCCTTGCTGCTGTCAGTGCAGGGCCATGCTCGGGGCCGAGAGACACCCCACCCCCGTGCCACATGGCCCCCGGAATCCTGAAAGCCAGCAGGAGAGTTTCTTGCATGTTGAGTTCCCCTGACTTTGGGTCTCTCTGACTTCTGTGACGGCCAGACAAAATCTCTGCTTTAATGGGCTCACCTGAATAGGTCAGGCCACCTGTGGTAACCTCCCTTTTATCATAGAACACAACATAGTCACAGGCCTGCCATCTCACCAGATTTGCTGGTTCCCCCTACTCCGGGGTATTATACAGGGTGTGGACAGCACGCAGTGGAAATCTTGGGGGCATTTAAGGTCCTGCCTGCCTCAGGTGGGAAGCCCGCTGTCGGGGCTGCCACCAGGGGAGGCTACATTGATGCAGAGGCATTTTCCCACCTGCTTTTTTCCAGGAGAAGCGCTACTGGACAGCGGCATCCAAATCACCTCTGTCTTCACCTCCCCGGCCCTGCGCTGTGTGCAGACAGCCAAGCACATCCTGGAAGGTCAGTGAGAACTCAGGGAGCGGCTCAGGTGGCCTTGACCAAGGGGAGAGGGAAGTGAGTGGAGGGGAGAACTGAATGAGTGGCAGTGAAGGGCTACGTAAGCCACAAGGTAGTTACGGACCAGCCATCTGAGAACTGTGAGCAGCACCGAGCCCCTTCACATGTCTGAATGCCAGGATTGTAACTTGGTGTCAGGGGCCTGTCATCACACCGTCCACCTTTGGCAGCTTCTGCCATGTGTTTTTAAAGAAACTTCCGGGGAGGGGCATTCAGAAACCCAGAGAGAAGGGGACTGCTGCTGTCCTTCTAAGTCCAAAATGGGTGACTCCCCAGAGTAAGGGAATCCTCTCCTGGGAGCTGTCCAGCGCCGCCAGGGCTGACGCGTGTTAAGCAGCCATTAGCACAGCTTCTGTGCTTCCGCCTGCAGGAAGACAGCCGCTCCTGCCAGAGACGGCAGCCTGTTCTGGGGGCTTTGGCTCTGCTCCCCGCCCTGGGCGTCTCCCTGCCCCTCGTTGTGCGGGGAACAGGAATTGGGGAGCTCATCATCAGGACAAGGGCAGGTCACAGGGAGGGCACGTGGACACAGGCGTAGCATAGGGGGTCAGGTCACCAGCTGAAGTGAAAAAGGGGACGGCGGCTGGAGGTTGGAGGGGCTCTGAAGGTATGACATGCTTACCAGGGCCAGGGGCCAGGACACAGCCGGGAAAATATAGGCTGGCCACTGGGCACCATGAAGAGCCCACTCGAGGTCAGGGGGCATGGCTTTACCCTGAGACCCATGAACTGGGCGTGGGCTTTCCTCCGGGAGCTGACGGGGGAGCAGGTGGACGGCTGGATCTAACTCCAGGCGGGTTTGAGAAGTGACAGCAGCGAAGCAAGAGACGGCTTGAGAAGCTGAGGGTGCAGCAAGAGGATGACGAGCCTTAGCCGTGGATCTTAAGCTGGGCGACGCGGGCGTTAGGACCCAGGGGAGGTGAATGGTAGAGAAAAGGGGTGAGCTCGGTGGAGTAAAATCCTGGGGCTTGGGTTAGGAGGCAAGAGACGTAGCTTCAAAGAAAGGAGGGCTGGTTGGAGACAGAGCAGTTTGACACTGAGCTTAGGAGGGAGTTACAGGAGCTGGTAATGACAAGACCAAGGTCAGGAAGAAAGGCACCTCATGGAGGAGGGGACAAGGAGCCAAGAGGCTGGGTGAGCCACCAGGCAGATCATGGTGTCACCAAGCTTTGTACCTGCAGCTGTGACAGAGAGGACAGTGAGCTGGGGCTAACATCTTCATGGAAGGGGCTTCAAGGGGTCCAACCAGCATGCACACCACCGCCGGCCTCCGTGTCCTCTCTCATCTTTTGTACCCGCGTGGGAGAGGCACTGACAAAGTCCCCACCCAAGTCTGGGAGCCCAGGTGGGAGCCCCAGCCAGCAGTCAGCTGGTCCTGCACTGAGCCTGCGCAGCCCCTCGGCTGACCCATTCCTCTCCCACATTCTCGTAAACTTGCTGTTTCATAATCCAGCCTCCGATTTTGTGAGGCATACAAGTCCATTTTATCAGCAGAGTGTCCACAGTCCATCTTGCACACATCTAGGCCTCGGAGGCAGTGTCTGTGTCTCTTCATGGGGACAACACAGATGGCAACACGAAGGCAGGGCGTCCCCTAAGAGCTGGGTAAGCCCTTCTGGGCTGTATTTGTTCTAAGCTTTCAATGTGAGGAGAACTCTTAATGAATAGGATGGCATTAAGCAAAATAGACATGAAGTAATTTTTATCCCTGGATTGCTTAGGATCAACTTATTTCTAATTCATCCAACAACTATAGTAATCAGAAGTGAACAAAGACAGAAACACATACAAATACAGGATAAAAGGTGACGGACTAGTCCCTGAATTTCCCACCTCTTTTATTCCTGACATTGAATGAGCTTATTTTGTTCTAACCTGCCCGAGAGGCTGCTACTCTTCCACTAACCTTCAAAACCACTCACTTCCGTCTTTGGCTGGAAACTCCTAATGAGCTGGGGTGAAGCTGAACAGATGCCCTGCATTCGGCCAGGCCAGCCCTCAAATGTCACTGCTGGTGTCATTCTCAAGTCATAAGATGCCTTTCCAGTAATGATCTTAATCTTCCTTTCCCTGCCAACCTCTCTCACCATGGTGACAACACATAAATAAGAAGGTAAAGACTCGTCCTGTGGCCAGCCTTCCTAGTAAGAGGATGACTGAGCGTCAAAAACATGTTTCGTAACTTTTGTCCCTCTTTTGTCATGATTCATGGTTCTTCATTATTAACGTATTTGTTCCAATGTTGTGAGTATTTTTCTGACTTCCGTTGTTTGGGGTTCCTTGCATATAAAATTAAAAGTTCTAAAAATGTGTTCTGACAACGATAACGTCAATGTCTGTTACATGATCTCGCATTGACTGTTACTCGTTTGCGGATGATAATGATGATGATGGTTGTGCCTGTTGAAGGGAACACGTTTGCAAACCCTGGGTTAATTCCAGAAAAACAAGGGTTCTGAGCCCACTTCACAGGTCCTCCGACATGACCAGCCTGTTTCTCAGACTGACATCTGAGATGCTAACAGGCTAAACTTTATTTCAATACCATGCCACAGAACGTCCAGACGGGCCATTTCCCAAAGCGTGACCCACGGAACAGTGGCCTAGAACATGTCCTCAAGAGGAAGAGTGGCCAATGTCATTTGGGAAACTCTCCCAACTATCCCTTCCTGTGATTTAGTCACAGTGGACACGAGCCCTTCCCAGGCCGGGGGAGCGCTCGGTTGCACTCCTCTTTCTAAACGCACTTGCAAAGGAACCCATTTTGTGGACCTAGGAACTGATTTTGTTGCCAGTATTTAAGTTCAGTGTCATTCTCTCCATTTCAAATAAAAGCATTAAGGCATTTTTTTCCCCAAAACTCAAAAAGAGATGGCCTTACTTTACAGACCTTTTGGTCAAGGTGTGAAATGCTTGGGAAGGGTGAGCTGGGAGGAGTCGGAATGTTCCAGAAGACGGCTCCCTTCGCTTTTGCTCTGTCAGCTGTGTGTCAGGATGATGCTTCCATGTGACTAACATGCTCTGAGGTTGGCTGCACCTTTTCCGTGAATAATTGGGTTGGCCAAGTGTTTATTGGTGGCTCTGATTCTTGACGCGTGGATGAGGCCTGGAGCTGGTCGAGGTGTAGAGACACACTGGGTGGTCAGGATGAGCCAGGCTGGGCTGCTGCTGGGGGCACCTCCCAGCTCCTGGAAGACTCTGTCCCTTCCTGATGGGCAGAACGTCACCACTCCTCTGATACCTTCCAACGCTCCAGTGGTTTTTGTCTCAGAAATAGCATGGCTGTGGGTGATCACAAACAATATTTGCCAAGAAAAAAGAATCCCGTTTTTTGAAAGGTATTATTTATATCTAGGAGGAGGTTTACGTATATAAAGCCAAAGTGGACACTGAAAATGAGAAACACTTGTATTCTGTTTACTGCAGAGCTCAAACTGGAGAGAAAAATGAAGATCAGAGTGGAACCCGGAATTTATGAATGGACGAAATGGGAGGGCGGCAAAACCACCCCAACACTCATGACCCTGGACGAGCTGAAGGAGGCGAATTTCAATGTCAGCACTGATTACAGGTGTGCCGTCCTCACGTTGTCTGCTGCTGGGGTTTTCTAGTTCTTGGTAAAGACATTGAGGAGGGGCCACTGCAGTGGGGGGGTTGCAGTAGGTGAGAGAGGCTGAACTTTACTCCAAATATAATAAGGACAAAAGTAGGGATTTGAAGCCAGTGAGCATATGCGGGGTTGGTAGGTAGACATTTTCTAAGAGAGTAAAATTCTTGGTAAACTGACCTAACAGGATTCTTGCTAAGGGCAGGCCAGGGTGATCAGACATCACCTATGTGTGTGTGGCGGGGGGAAGGGCGGACTTTGCTCAGATATCAGGAAGGATCAGATACCCAGGATGGGGGGCTCTGGCCAAACCGACTTAGCAGGGTTCTTGCTCAAAGTGGCTCTAGCAGGACAGGCCCTGAGCCCAACGTGTGGGGCCAGCTGAGCAGAGGGCTCACAGGAGCCTAACTAGCATTTGGTCAAAGGGAGAGTCTGTCATTCTCTCCTGGGGCTGAGGCTTCGCCATCCCAAAACCCGTCATTCAGTGAGAATGCGTGCTGCAGCGCGAACACCAGCCCTCTGCCCGCTCTGAGCACAACGTTGGAGCCTCACCGCCCACCATGAGCCCTGCCCGAGGCGGGACCATCTTAGAGAACTCTCCCTCTCCAGCTGCCCACAGTGCTGTCCTAACCCCCATCTCGCAGGCCAGGGTGGCAGCCGTTCCCCCTTCCTCCCGTAGGCCTGCGTTCCCCCTCGCCTCCCTCCTGCCAGCGGAGAGCTACGACGAGTACGTGGACAGGTGTGCGGTGAGCATGGAGCGCATCGTCAGCCACTGCCCACAGGACGGTAAGCGCCTTCCCCGTGCTCGGCGTGAGCGGCCCCCGGAGGTTGGGCTCTTACCTGTGGGATGGAAATGGGACCAGTTTCAAAACCTAGTGAAACCCCAACCTCCCCTACCCCACTCCCCAGCAAAAGAGTGTTCTAGGGGTGTCTCTGCAGTAATGGGACACAGGGACACAGACTCCCTGTCATCCTGGCCCTGTGACCCCAAATCTGGGACTGAGAGCCAATGGGACCCAGGACAGCAGGGTCAACACAAACCACCCACGCCAGATTCCTAGGAAACAGACTAGGAACAGAACAACCAAATGCCAGGTCTCATTTGAATGACAATGGGAACAAAACATCTGTAGAGCGAAATTGGACTATGGAATTGGAGTATAGACATATTTAAGAAACTTTGTTGATTTTGTTAGGTGTGATAATGGCAGGATGGTTTTGTAAGAACGGAAAGTCCTTCTCATTTGGAGATGCAAACCGAGGTGTATCCCGTGGGATGGTGTGATGTTGCAATATGCCCTAAAATAAAATGCAGGGGAGAGGGGGAGAGGTGGAGAGCAGATAAAAGGTGGGCGACGTGGACAGCGCTCAGAGCTCGGGAATGGGTACATGGGGACTCATTAGACCCTTCTCGTGTGTATCTTTGAGATGTCCATTGTAAAAGGTCAGAAGCCCATCTTATAAAACTTAAGTCGGGAGCTGTGTATTGAACATTAATGAGTCAGGCTCCAAACAGAACCTCGGGGGGAATCTGCATGAGAAAGACACGCGCTCTACCCTCACGGAGTCTGAGTGTGATGGCGGAAGGGGCACACATGTCTGGAATATTAGGAATATTAGACAACACGAACAAGAGCACCAGAGTCGGGAGGAGGCCACCTGGCCCGCATCCCCCGCTTGCGCTCTTTCGGGCCCTCGTCCCAGAGACGCTCGGAGATGAAGACTTCTGCTGCTGAGGCGCGTGGGAGGAGCTGAGCGCCGGGCCCCTCTTGGAGAGCCCCCGTGCACCAGGGGGACACACTCTGAGACGTCCTGTGGGAAGACACCCAAACCCCAGACACGCCTGGCCCTGAGGCTGAATTACGTAGCCTGCTTTGACTGACCAGCACCTGGGGGACATACTTTGGGAAACCATGCTTTAATGGCCTTTGATTAATTATTAAACTCGGTGATTCCCAGTTATGACCACAGGACGTCAGAGGACAGAAAATGAAATGCGAGCCTTTTACTGCTCTTGCAGGGCCCCACCCAGCCCACCCCTTTCTGGCCGTCTCATTTCAAGCCTCCAGCCCAGGCTGAACAGGAGTGACCATGGATGACCCTCCCTTCCAAGGGTCCCCGCCCTCTGCAGTCCCGGGGCCTTCTGGAACTCGAATGCAGGACTCTGTGTGTACTGAACACCGTGTGTGTGCCGCTCACACAGGAACACGGCTCCTCCGCCTCGGCCCGGGGCGCTCAGGACACAGCGCTGAGCCGTGAACCAGGAGGGCTGCGAGGCAAAGCATGAACAGGGCAGGGGGTGAGGGCTGTGGGACTCAGCGGGCGGGCAGAGCCCGGGGGATTCCACTGTGCTGGAGGGTGAGCCCTATGCCTACCCATCCCCGGGCTCGGGTGGGCCCTTCACAGACATTACCTGTTAATGTCTCCTCGGACCTCACCTTCCTGTGGGGTCTGAAATGCCACCTCCATTGACACCGCGGGACTTTGAAGCTCTCAGGCACTGAGAGTCACCCTGCCGGAGAGCACTGGCCAGGAGCCAAACCTGTGGTCCCACGACCCAAACAGCATTCTACAACCGACCATGAGTTTGGAGGCCAAACACATGAGTATGAAATTAATGGGAAATGACACAGGCAAAGCAGGTGGGGACTTCAGTTAGGGTGTCACGTTGGAGAATTTATAGTCACCCTGGGAGGCGGACCTGATGGGCTGCTCTGTGTCCGCGTGGCCTTCGAAGGAAGCGGTCCGTTCTGATTTCCTCCTCCAGGTGGCGCTGGTGAGTCCGGCCAGGGCGCCTTCCTGACTCACCTCCGGGTCCAACCTCCCCCACTCGGCTTTGTCTGGCTTTAGCCTCTGGGTTGTGTCACCTGAGGGAGACTCACTCAGCCTGTGGACTCTGGGTGTCCTTACCCAGAGTGAGTCATCAGCAAGCTCACTGTGATCAACTGGCTGATAATTCTCAAGCTAATCAGATCAGAGCTGGGTGGCAGCCACCACCACATCCCACAAGAGGTGGCAGGTCAGATGGCTGCTGGCGGCTCAGAGCAGGCAGGGTCCCATCCTGAAGCCCAAGGCAAGTGCTGCCCCACCCACCCCACCTCCTGCCTGAGATGCCACGCGCTCTGGAGAACCACACACAGTGCAGGCAGAACTGCTAGTGTTACCAAGTATTATAGCGAGTATTACTGAGCAATGACCAACCACACTTTCTTCCTGCCCGGGCGCCTGTTGAGGCTTTGGGGCACCTTGAGGCAGTTTTACCCTAACAACTTTGGGGACCCTCGGTCTAATCAAAGGCGCTCTGTGTGCCTGCTTGGACCGCGAGCTGTTCTTTTTTCTGCAGTGGGCGTCACCCTCATCGTGGGCCACGGCTCGGCGCTGGACTCCTGCATTCGCCCTCTCCTTGGGCTGCCACCCCGAGACTCTGCCGACTTCGCCCAGCTGGTGAGAAAGGTACGTGCCCGCCCTTTTCTCTCTGGGCTACAAAGTCAGGCAGCCTGAGGACGCAGGGTCATCACACTCCCTTCTCAGAATGAAAACTAGTGTCCTGACAGCCCAGGGTAGCAGGGACCCACCTGGCCCTGTGCAAAGAGCAGCCTTGGGCAGGCGGCTGGTGGGAGAGGTTTGTCATCTTTATCATCATTATGGCAACTTTGCTGCCAAGATGATCTAAAAAGCATGACACAGACCTTTCCAGAAGGCAGCTCATATGATAATTACATGCAACTCCAGTAGTTGAGCAAATGGTCCAGGAAGGAGTAAGTGATGAGAAGAGAAAGAACGATGGGTGGGCTGGCTCACTCTGGGGACCTGGGGGGACAGAAAAACACCCCCACCCTCTTGCCTTTGGAGCCATCCAGCCATGGACACACACGAGCTTATTGTAGCTGCCAGAGTGCCCATGCCGGGCCAGGGTTGTATAAACAATCACAGTAAAAACAAACAGGTGATAGATGCATAAAGAAAGATAACAGGTACTTTGGACCAACTTGTGGAGTGTCACTCAGCAAGCAGAGATTGCTTTTATCCAGCTGATGAAATAAATCAAGGCAGGCCGACCCAAAAACTCAGACCCACCCCCTGCTCCTGCCCCTGCGCTGGCTCTGAAAATCAACCAGGGCCGGACTTGCCCTCTACTCTCAATTTTTTATCAAACTGACTGAGTAATTGACCAATGACCTTGTGGCTGGGAGGGCAGTGGTATAGACAACACATGTAACAGGAGATGGGTCCCTCACCTGGTTCCTTCACACAAAATTTTCACAGGACCACAACAGGCCACCGCTTGTTTGTCCTAGGTGTGGGCAGCAAGGTGTCACCAAGCCCCTGAGGGGTCTGGGGGCTGCAGAGGAGCAGACCCCGGTCCCAGCCAGCCACCATCAGCTCTACCTGCACAAAGCACTTGGCTCTCTGAGCCCTCTCCCTGCCCTGCCCGAGGAAGCACGTTCCTTCCTTACCTGGGTGGGAGGGAATCAGAGAGTTTCTGTGTGTGAGACGCTTAGTCCTTAGGGGGCTTGCAAAACACGTAAACAAAAAAAAGCCTTAAGTACAAAGATCTACTCCAGCACATTCATTTTACAGATGAAGGAATTGTCTAAAGTTTCACTTTGTAGTTTTTTTGGGGGGGGTCTGAAAACTCAACACCTGTATCTTTTTGTGATGCTAAATTCGAGAATATAAACCACTCTTGAATCAGTTCTCAGCCTTGGCACCAATAAGTCTGTTGTGGGGCCAGCCTGGGGCATTGTGAGCCCCCTGGCCTCCACCGGCTGGAAGCCAGTAGCACCCCCAGTAGTAGCAAACAGTAATGTCTGCAGGCATCTCCCATTGTCCTGGGGGGTGCGGGGGGGGCGTTCCCGCTGCCACTGCTGTGTTAAGTGCCGAGGCAGCTATGCGACCTCCAAGGGGTGGGAATACCTGTCAGTTGGCCTAAGAACGGGTCTCACATCGATTGATCTGGTGTAAATATTGATGTGACTCAACTCTGTTCTAGGTCCCCTCTCTGGGAATGTGCTTCTGCAAAGAAAATAAAGAGGGAGGAAAGTGGGAGTTGGTGGCCCCCCCCGTAAAGACGCTGACCCACGGCTCCAACTCAGCGTTTAATTGGAGGAACTGGATCCCGGGCAACTGAGCGCCCCCACTATGCACAACAGCTGCACGACACGGAGGGGCGCCTCGTGCGGAGGCTGCGAGAGACTGGCATTCGGAAGGTATCTTGGTCTCGCCTGCTATGATTTGCAGAAGCACAAAATGCACTTTTAGGTTCCAGAGAGACTGCCGTTGTCTTCACCTCTGTAACCATCTGAGGATCCGCAACCCCGTGGGTTCGGCTGCAGGATGGCACCTTGTACGTGTGTATCTGCCCTGTGTCCTGGCAGGGAATGAGGAACTATGCCTCTGGTTTCCAGGATTTAAAGACCCAACGCGCGCGCGCGCACACACACACACCAAAAGGGTACAGCCACTCTATTTTATATGTTCTTATTCATCAACCGTTCATCAAAAGCTCCCAGCCGTTTTTCCCTTTTCCTGTTTCAATCACTCTTTGCCTGTGTCCACACAGGCTGAAAAAGGTAGAACAGTCAATAAAATGGAAAAGAAACCACCCACCAGACCTCGGGTATCAGTTTCCTGTTGCTGCTATAACAAATCACAACAGTGTGGTAAAGACAACACAACTTTTAACACACACACACACACACACGCACACGCACACGCACACGCACGCAAACGCCATTGGTCCTGTTGCGGTTCTGGAGGTCGCAAGTTCTGATGCGGGTCAACAGGCTGCATTCCCAGGGGAGGCTTCGTTTGCTTGCATTTCCCACTTGGAGTGGCTCCCGCTGTCTGTCTCATAGCACCTTCCTCCGTCTTCAAAGGCAATGATGTCAAATTTTCAAATCTCTCCCTGGTCCCTCTGCTTCCACTTTCACGTCCCGTCCTGCTTCTGACCCTCCTGACCGCCTTTTGTAAAGTCTCTCGCCATGGCATTGGGCCCACCCGATAATCCTGGATAGCCTCCCCATCTCAGGACCCTAAACTTAACCCCATCCGCAAAATGCCCTTTCACACCTGCACAGGGCTGGGGACAAGGGTGTGGATGCCTTTGGGGGCCACCCCTGAGCCCACCGCAGCCCCACACATGGGGCTGCTTTCACGGGGGCCCAGGTGTAAGGATTTGAGACCCGTCCCCTTGGTGCAGGTCTCTGTTTGCTTCTCTTTTTCCCCTTGTTGATCAAGTGAGGTGGGAGGTGGGCTTTGCCCAGGAGACAGAAGCCAGGAGGGGCCAGCAGCACAGTGAAGTCTGGCCGGATGGTGTGAGTACAGTGGTACCTCCGACTCTGAGAAGTTGGTCCAAGCCCCCCAGTGGTGTCCTCTCACCCCATCCCTGCTGAAGAAAAAGAAAAAGTCATCCACGTGCTCAAATGCAGGGCATCGTCATGGGAAGAGGTGCTGCCCCGTTGCCTTCTGTTTGCTCTCCTGCACACCCTGGGGCCACACCAACCTTACCGTGTATAATGATAAATACAAACTTTGCAACCAAGCTAATGGAATTTAAATAGTGGTCACTTCTTTGGGGTGGTCCACAGATGTCTGGGTTCACCTTCTTGGGGGTGAGGCATCTGGGTCATGAGAGGGGCAGAGAATGACTCTTGCAAGGAAGGGACACCGAGATGTGTTTGACTCTCAGATCTTGAGGTCAAGTGTGCAAGAAACACAACTTTATAGTCTACAATTCTGGCTCTGACTAGACCCCTGTTCTTCTGCAATGACAGAAAAGCCCAGTTTGGTCACCCTTAGCATCCAGAATGAACCTCATTGTAAAGACAGTCCTGGGAACGGAACTGTGCTGGAGCAGAGCAGAGATGGAAGCGTCTATGGAAGTTTATCACTATGTGGTTACATTTCCAGCCCTCTGCACTAACAAGAAACCAAGAATTAAAGACAGACAGCTTGCTGACCACTCCCCTCTTCTGTCCTGTCCCTGTGCTGGCCCTCGGGTGTCCACAGACCTGCTCTGACCCCTGCTGACGTCATCTGGAAATGGACGTTGTTACCACGGCCGCCC